TATCTTAGTGAAGGATTCCCTCATATGTACCCACCATAAAGTTTTAAGTAAGGGAGCAGGCTGAAGGCTTCTTTTGAATGACTATTATATGTACTCCCAATAAACGCATTTATCACTAACGCGACACTGAGTTCTGTGGTGCAGGAGAAGCAGCAGCGCTGGTCATCTACTTAACTGTTTCTTTCTCTAGATATTTACCATAATGGTGTCTTTTCTTGCACTTTCTCTCTCTGGGAAGTAATGAATGCAATCATTCTCCAAACTTGCTGCTCACCTTCCACTCTCAAGCCTAAAAGGCTGTCTAATGGGGTGGGGGTGGAGTGGGGGAGCCTTCCTTGTCCCAGTGTACTCTATTTCAAAGCTAATATTAATGCTCTTCCCTGTACTTCCTCTCCAGACAGCAGGAGGTGGGCCACTTCTTGTGAAAAGAATAGCTCTTCTTAGCATGATTGCAGTGGGCTGGGCAGCTCCATGTGAGCCACCTTGACTCAAGGAAAGGAACCCTGAGAATGCTCCCTTCTCACTAGACAGCAAGGAGAAGGCAGCTTCTCTAAAAGGAATGAGTGAAGTGGACGGTGACTTACACCAGTGTCTGTGTGCTGGCTGCAGATGCAGCCTAGTAAGGTGCTGTTCTTACCCACAGCACGAGGCAAGCAGGGTGCTCAATTCCACTGGCAAGCAGATCAGATCAGTGGGGCTTGAATTATTGCAATGGATTAGTAACTAAGGACTCAGCTTTGGAAAATGAATTGCGATCTCAGTGTAAAGCAAGGGAGAGTCCAAAATCTAATTCATACTGCTTCATGAATGAGGAAAAACTTGGCTCAAAAGAGATTTTCATACAGAATAGACCCCAAAACACCCTGGGAACCATAAATGAATGTGAATGAAATCATACTGGAATTCAAAACACTTTATAATTTGGGTTTCTAAAAATACAACATGTGTACTTTTAAAAAGAGGCCTGATCAAGTAAGTTCCAACACTTAAAATGTACACACACTCAAAACACAAAAGCAGTTTTCACTGCTGTAGAAAATAGTCACTTGAAAATGTGAGTGTATTCTTGATGCATGAGATATAATCGACCAACTGGCTACATCTTCAAAGAAGTTTAAAAAACTGGTAGTAAATTGTAGGCTAGAGGGTTTTAATGCCCTCAGAATACGATACAGTCCGACATAAACAACTTGAGCCAGGAAACAGAGAGAAGACTGAACAGAAACCACATATGCACTGTTGCACTGTTTCTGGGTTCAGGTGTATCACTGACGCACCAAACTAGCTCAGTAATATGCTGAGTGAACTTGAGTGTCTTCTCTAAAACACTGCTTTTCTCTATACAATGTGATCACAACAACGGGAAGAGGAAGAGACATCCCAATGTCAGTTGGCCACAAGACCTGGTGAATTTATTCAGAGCAACTCAGAAGATGAGGAAAGAGTTCTCATATTCAGTGCGTAAGAATCCGTTTAAATGATGTAAACATGATGCAGCAATTGTCCATTTCATGAAACAATGTAATGTGACAACCTACAGAGAGAGGTGACACCTATACCATGACTAACTTATTACACCTTTTTAATTTAAATTCATGGTTTTGAGCTAAAAGATATACCAAGAAATCTTACATTATTTCCAGTACTGTATTATAAGCCATTTAAATTTCTATACTTGAGCTAGCCTGCTTATCCATAAAGTGTGGGTAGCAATGTGAGAGCAAGGAGGTAAGCTAAAGGCATTTCATATAACAAACTCAGCTTTTAAGCATAAGCTGACATATTTCCGTACATATTTATAAGGCTTCTTGGTTATTATTAGGCTGTAATTGCAGTTGTTCTAACACCTAATAAGCCACGGTTGGAAAAACAAAAGCAGGTTAATTTGTGATTTCCTTTACTCATTCAGAGGCAAATTAAGTGTCAAACAGCTAATACAGAGCATATTTCATTTTATGAGATTTTAATTTAATTCTGTACCATATCATTGATGCCTTAATATAGGGTGGTTTATCTAAAAAGAGGGGCAATTTATAAACCTTTTCAATAGAATCTTTAATGATGGAATATGATAGCATAATTACCGTAGTGCCTGCCATCCTTCTGAACACTGGTCTGTCAGCGTTTCCATCAATACAGACCCTTGTTTTGCAGAGACTTATAATTTAGTTTCTAAAGTTGGCACCAGAGGAACAATTGTGTTTACAAAATAATGAGAATATCTCCAAGTTTTATCTTCCTGTAATTAAAAACATTCACTCTAAAAGTTTAGTAAACTCACTTGATTTCATTTTCTAAAAGACAATTAAAAGGCAAACATTTTGGAATTCAAATTGTTGAAAAGATACTTTCATATTTTATAGTTACTACTTTGAAGACTTGGGTGTATGGGCCACATTTACTATCAAGACACTCAACCTTAACAATCACAGCTGTGCCCTTATCACCTGTCAGAAGGGGTACAGGCAGCTGGGGTCATCATGGAGCAAGACCAGAAGAAACTTGGTGTCCATGTACATTAACTCTGAGCATGCATTTAGAGAGACAACCTTGATAAAATACATGCATGATAGTTCTTTTATTGAGTCCTTCCTGCAAAGTAGATAGCTTCATTTCAATAAAGTGAAAGGACAATACTAAGGGGAATTTGCCAGAGTCTACAGCATAAGTGAGGGGCAAAACCAAAGGATAATTCAAATATCCTGATAGCTCAGCCACCACCTCAAAAACTGGACCAGTCTGGTTGTTCACTGAACACAGCTTACATGTCTGTCTGTCATAGGTTGAGAACTTTGCACAAACTATCAAAGAGAAGTGACAATTCCTAACCAAGCAAAAAGAAAGTCACAGCAATAAGTGGGTACACAAGAGATGCTACAGACACATCCTCTGGAATAATATGAACATGAGCCAGAGCTCACCGTGCAAAGACATTGAAGACAATGCAATGAGTGGCATGCTACAAAGGCATGGAGATGTGACTTGTTCTAAATCCTAGAGCCCATGATATAAGGTCATTGTCTACCCAGGAATCTGCTAGGACAGGCTGAAGTGGAACAGTCCCAGAGAACTATAGACATGAGGGCCCATGTTCCACACCCACTCCACAACATTCTCTCAGAACCCTCAAAAATTATCAACCATCCTTATATCACAACTCTTTGATGATTATATATGTAGGGTGCTCAAGAACAATTTAGTCAATTACTGCTTAAGTATCTTAAAACTTGGCTGAAAAAGTACAAAGCATTGGGAAACTTAGAAAGCCCAGCTCAGAGTTACAGCTGAAGGAAAAGCCCATGGTCAACTCACAGTTCTTACAGATAAGACTTAACCTTATCTGTGTCAGTATTTTGCTATGAACCCAAGCAGGGCCTAAGAACATACAACAAGGGTTATAGGAGGCTTTGCTGTTACTATTAACTCTGCCAGAGAATCAGATGGTGAAATTTTTAATTGATAACTTTCTATTTAAATTTACTAGTAAGATGAAGTACAATAAGTCCAGAGGAAAGAGTTCAGCATATTATTTGAGGTCAGTTAAAAAAAATTCTCTAGAACATGGTTTTTGAAAGAGTAAAGAACTCCCAGATTCTGCAGAAAATCTGACTGAATTATTTCATCAGAATGTCTCAAATCTGAGAGGAGCTAGCCATCTTTGTCTCTAAAGCATGTGGGATCTAGATTCAAGGATAGAACCACAAGGATAGATCCACGTGGTTCCATTCATAGCATAAAGGTTCTGTGAGATCAGGCGAGTTATGTGTCACCTTGTAAACTCACAATTACAAATCCACTTCCCTTTGTGTAGGAGAACTTCAGCTGTTCCTTTGGTTTTATGTGTGTATTTTCAGAAGGCTTCAGGACCCTGTAAATACTTGGTTATGTCCCGGTTAAAGTCACCAGAAGAATAAGTCACAAGTTCCTGCATTCTCCCTCTGTAAATACCCACTTCTCCTGCAACGCTCACAGACTCTCAATGCAGATTTATTACTCACCTCCAGGCAAATCTGAACTGAAATTACAATTCAGTAATGGGAGATGGATCCAAAAAGCGGCTGGTAAAATATTATATGTGTACTTGGGCATGCAGTTAGGACTGTTAATATCAATTAATTCTGTTCACAGAGGAGGACTTGTTTTAAAACAACTTCATTTTTCTTCAGCATACCGTATAATTACACAGCTGTAACTAATAGTCAGGGAGATGCAATCTAGCATCTATGTAACCAGCATTATTCTTCAAAGTATTATTTGTGCTTTTCTAACTCCACTGTCTCAGAACAGAAGGTGATTATTACATATAACTACATATGTACCAAGGCCATTAGCAGGGAACAGCCCCTCGTGGAGAGTGTGTCCAATTATAGCATATGACAGTTTTCTGGATGGTATGGCAGAACACTGTTCTGTTAGTTTGTAAATCTATGGTTCTTTTTATTTCCCCTCAAAACTAAGTGAGATAATATTTATTTCCATGAGATTTTCTTTTTCATTGTATAATACATTTTATACACATTCTTTTCTTTTATCTTACATGAACCACATTTGCCATTTTGTTTAGAGTGACATTCTCATCAATCAAGTGACTGTATATGGACCATGGGGACTCTGAAAATCCTCCACAAACATTTCATTTTGATTCACTGTAATCCTTGGGTCAGAACTTTCGCATAAGAAATTTTTAGCATGTAGAACTGCAAACCTAAATCACAATCAAACACATATTGTAAGTGGCAAACTTCCATTAAGGTTTAACTTTAACCCTTTAGGTTTGTAACTCTCAGCTATTTGTCTCTCATCAGCAAAATATCAGAGAACACTTGCCAGCTCAAGCATGAGACAGGCATCCTCAGAAAGCACAAGTCTGATTCAGTGAATCTAGGAACAGAGCTTTGCCAGGCTTTAAGAGTAAATCTTACACTGTTATCGCACCTTCAAAGCCCAGAGCACATGCATTAAGAGTCCATTTCATTAATGGGTAACATTTTAATACTTACACATGTAATGGAGGAATAGGAGATGGATCATAATGGTAACGGCCCTCATGATGTCTGGCATCAATTGGTACAGGAGGATGGAAGGCAGGGAAAAGATGAGGAGGGTCTGAAAAGGAAAGAAAGTATACCTTACATAAAACGAATATTTTGTGATAGCATTTCAACTCAAGGCAACTTCACTGCATGAAATCTCTTTTAAGAATTTCAAGAGCTGAGACCAAAGAGATGAATCAATGATCAAGAGCACTTGCTGCTCTTGCAGAGGGGCCTGAGTTTGATTCCTAGCACCCATGTCCAGGTGTTGAAAACCCATTGTAACTCTATTTCCAAGGGATCTAATGCCTTTGTGTGGCTTCCATGGGAACCTACAGTCATGTGCACACAGTCCCATACACGCACTTGCACATAATTAAAAATAAAACCTTCAAAGTGAATTTCTAGGATAATTATTGAAAGCTATTGAAAACGCTCAGTGCCATACTATAGAAATATGACTAGGCAAATAATACAAGCGTGCTCTGGAGAAAGTATAGTCTGTGAATGTACCTAACACCTTACCAGAAAAGCAAGAATGAGAGGAAAAGCATGGCTTCCTACCTTGGAAGGAAGCTTTCCCAGAGGGAAGACAAGCAGGAGACACAAAACCAGGAAGAAAATTATACTGTCAAGTGAAATTTTAAATGAATGTATTGCAACATATTAACATATTAGTGTCATGCCCTCGGTATTTTTAAAGGTGTCCTTCCTATGGTTTCTGTTGGTTCCTATGCATATACATTCACATACATATACGTGGTTTAAAAAAATAAATGTATGTTTCTTTTTCTCTTTGGCCTAAGTTAGGCCTCCATAGTTCTGACACCAGGGCAGTCAAACTTCCTTTTTCTAAAAAGAAGCCTATCGCTCTGACTGGAAGTGATGATTAGATCCACAGTGCTCCATCACAGATGGAGATCTGGGGGAACTGAGGTAACCACTGCCATTGTAACCCATCCCTTCTGATTTTCCTCACATCCTGTTCATCAGCTGCTAGGTCCTGTGTATGTGTCCTACTTTTACATAACCTCCTTAGCCAAATTTACTTGTACCCCTTGTCTCTGCAAGTCTGATCTGCTGTACAAAGTGAAAAAAACCTGAATGGGTTTCATAGCTAGAAGTAAGACTGATAGTTTGTATTAATGTTTTGTCCAAGTTCCAAGGAATAAAATAAAGGAGACCAAAACCTGTCCACTTAGCATCAACGCTAAGTGATATTACAGCAAATGCGCCCAAACATGATCCTTAAATACTGCCCTTGAGCAGTGACAGTCACCTGTCATAGCAGATGCACACATAGCAGCGCATTCCTGGGGATTGCCATGCACAGCAATAAACCTTAGAATGGTACCCAGCTACTTCAAGGATTCTGACGGTTATAATTAGCAAGCTTAAAGCAAGTTAAACAGATGTTCAACAAGCAAGTTTTGTGCATTCAGATCAGTTACTGGCAGATACAAAACCAGGTAACAAGGTCTGAGAAACCTCGCCAAGTACAGCAGGCAAGTGTATAAACTGTACCTCCTGAGTCAGCAATGATGCAAGCCAAGTAATAAAAGTTAAGTGGACATGGTGACTATTACACTATAGAATCCAAAGGAATCTCATTTTATTTCCTCTAGATCCACCTAGTTCGCATGTTTTCTCAATACATCTTTTAGAATGCAAACTGTGTTCCCCCCTTTAGGGGTGGGGATCCCTTATGATGTTCCTTTAAAGATCTAAGTATACTTTACAACAAAAAGGTAAGAGGGAAAAAACTGTGAGTGTGCACTGACTGAACATATGTGGCTCATTAAGGAGGGGTCCCAACCTGCATTTTCACTAGTATCCCACAATGGTCACGAATAGAAAATAGTACAAGAGGTCTATGAAACCGAGAAATGTTACTTATTCAATGAACTTTTGTTGTAATATCAAGCAAGGAGGGAGTTAACAGCATAGAAGCAGAGAAGGTATTAATTTGTTATTATCAAATCAGTGTCACCGTGGCATCACCAAGTTCAACAGGTGGGGTTATCTGATCACTTGTCATGCTTCACACAATTCATAAGTACATAAAAAAAGACTGTATTTTAACAATTAGTACTCAACGATGTAAGCCAGTTCTCCTGCAATGCAAGCATCATTCAGCTTGTTAAGTGTGAGTTTAGCACAGAAGTTTATTCAGCCATGTGGCAAATTCACTGTTACACTTAACTCAGCAATCCTGAGATGAAAAGCCACCCTATGGAAAGTCAAAATGTCCTAATTTTGATGAGCATTATCTTATGGTCCTCCTTAAGACAACATGAAACTAAATGGAACAGTCTTTGAGACTAGCTGAAAAGTCTGCCACATTTTCACTATATGTATCTGAAACTTTGAATTTTGAAACAAACTCACAATAATCCCAATCAAATCTAGGATAAAGACAAGTGATCATCAAATATGGGCAGTCTCCCGTTCCTTTCTACACCAAAACAGGCTTGGCTCTGGAATACCCACCCCACTCCACCCTGTGCGTGTCATCATTCTTGAAAATAAAAGAAACAAGTTAACAGAACTGTGTGGAAATTACACGCTTTTACAGGATGGCTCACTTCTGAAGGGTTTCCCAGACCTACCTGTTGAGGGTAGCACTGAAACCACTGTGTTGGAGTTGGACTGTTAGTTTTATTCCCTTACATTTAGGTTCCTGACTGTACTGTTAACACTAATCCACCAGATAAGGGGATGGCAAGTGCATTTTGTTGTTTTCCATGTGGTTGCAACTATGAATTATGTCTAATTTCAACACTGTGTTTCACATACAGAGACAGAAAGTGTGTAAAGGTATCCACATTTAACAAATACCTCCCATATCTAAGAAATAAGTCATTACCTTTTCTATGTATAGTGAAGTTGCAGAGATTGTGTACACAGGAAAGGGGACCAAGCAATTAATCCAATAAAAATCATGAGTGCCAAGTGAGTGTAATAGTCCCTTCCTTGTGACAGCATACAACACGACTGTTGACTTGAGGGCATTTTCCCATCTTGTCATTTTCAGAAGTCTCATTGCAGTTTCAGTAACGGAAGGAAAACTACTGTGGCATTCAGTGACGTCCTCACCTGTTACCTCGACGGAGTTTTGTGAGTCTGAAAGTTAACCTCGACGGAGTTTTGTGAGTCTGAAAGTTAATTCTAAGTCCATCTTGCATCACTGTTTACATAAAGTGTTGTGCTTAAGGAACTTAGAATTATTAATTCCAGAACTGGGTCTAAATAACGGACAGAAATTTAATGGATGCGATGTTGTCTGACCAAGAGACAACTGGCAGGAGGTCAGTGTTTTGCAATTCACATGCTCCCCCCTGATTAAGTTTAAACAGGCTCTTCTGGACTGTTAAAGCCCATGTGAACACTTTGAGCTTTTATTGGTTATTCACTGAAATCACCTCTTAAGCCACTTTTTGGGAACTGGTAAAGACAACCCCTCTTCTGATTCAAAGCATGCTTGGCATAGCCTGAAATGATACAGAATACAATGCACAACAAGCACTGATCTAGCATGTGGGAGTGACGGAAGTGACCCCAACATTCCTCAGAAGACACCCTTGCATCTTGGTTTGTTGTTTCTATGCACCAGCAGTATATTCCATCACAGACCCCAAAAGCTATCCAAGAAACCCACAGGGAAAGAAAAGGTCCCTGTTGCCAGCAGTCATCATAATCAGCCACCTCAAGGTTTATGTTTTACACATGAGCAGCGCAGCTGGGGTGCATCATAACTCAATATATGTGTAATATGTCACAGCACCGTAGCCATCTTTTGCCCTAGGATGTGACAAAACACTCTGTGATGACTTCTCCAAAGTCAGGCGAAAACTGCTGAAGCAGAAGGAAGTGCCACTAAACCTGGCTACCTCCTATTTATCATACAATTTCCTGACTGATGGTTCCACAAACCAGCTGCTAAGTGCTGTGTACTCTACTGTCAGCAAACTAATGCGCTAAATGGAAGACAGGGAGAATAATGTGCCGAACTGGTAGAATCAATTTTCCTGAGAGAATTAAAATTCTAGCAGGTAGGGGTGGGTCTGCAGAGCCATGGTGAGCAGTGGAGTAGACTATACACGAGTATGGCTGCAAAGATGATTTATTACAGATTTGCACAAGGTTTGACTGTGGTATCAGAGGCCTCTTATACTTATCATAGATTTGAAAGGTATGTCCCACCAGAGTCGTTAGTGTAATGAATATGTAATTGGCTTATATACCTTTAAATAGAAGAGCATGGTAAAAGTATTTGAGCTGGGTAGAGTTGTCAGTATTCAGCTTCGCACTGCCTGTCATCATGCTAAGTATTAGGGGATTCATTTGAAATGAGAGGCATTGAGTTTGAGGTCTCTTCATAAGAGCATGGGTTGAGCAGAAAACCTACAGCCAGGGAATAACCAAGGATACATGGAGACTGATCTTTAGTTGCATCCCTCTCACAAGAAATAGTTTTAGTATCCTCAGGCTATCAGATCTCTTGGATGCCATCCTGGGAAACTGTCTTTTAAGGTTTGAAATTTACATACAAAAATTGTAGATTAAAAAAGGAGAGATCAAAGTCAACTCAGTTCATGCCCTGAAGGAGTAATTCACCAAATGATGCCAGAGTGGCCTGATTGCCCAGGAGGTAGTAGATGAGAAATCAACAGAAATAAATGGCCAGGTGCAGAAGTCCTCCTGGATGATTTAGATACCAATGTGGTCTGGCTTGGGACTTTCAAAAGCATAGCCAGAAATGCTGTACCTGATATTAGCCACCCCTGTACCTACTGTCAATAAAAAAGATCATTAAAGGGATGCATGGGCTTCTGTGTTGAAATCCACTGTGCTAAATTCAATACAAACCCCCACCTCATATAAAATGAGGTCTTAAGTTGGGAAGAGAAAAGAAACAGGAAAGGAAAAACAAAAGCAATGGCAAGAAATTCCACCAAAGGAATGATACAGAGAGGTACCCCAGACCTTACCACAGCCTCTTTTGAACTTGAGGTATTTTCAGTCATCACCTCTTCCAGAGTCCAATGGCCTGAGGCAGACATTGTAACAGCT